TTTATGAAAATAGGATGGCCAATGTTAGTCATATGATTAACAACTGTACCTTGTACCCTACATGCTTCTTTTAATACTAATTTTTCGTGAATCAATGATTACACGAGTTTTTCAATACTTTGATAAAATTTACAAATGATGTAGATATCTATATGACTTCTACAGTATATTTTATAAATAATATGATTAGTTCAAGACTTAGAGATGAAAATGTATAAATTCATTAAATATTTAAAAATTATTTGTTAATTACTTATTTATCAATATACATATATTTATGAATTACATCTATCAATAAAGCTATTCATTGTAATTTTGATTTTTCTCCTCACAAATTATTATCAAGTTCAATAAACAAACATTTTTGATAACAATTTATGAATATAAGAAGTATTATATAATAATAAAAAATTGATTTAGAATTTTTTTGCAGACATATCTGACTTTTTATAAAATAATTCACCAATGTTGTGAACTGAGAGAAGATGTTTCACAAAACTGGCTTCAACTCTTGATCTAAATGGGCAGTATTGGCAGGAAAAATGAGTCTCAGAAGTAGCCAGTCCACAGCCACTTTTTAGATGTTTCCTCAAGTTTGAAGCCCACGAATACATTTGGCCACAGCTTGGGCATACGTGGAGACGTGGCCTGACGATCGGAAATAGTCTCGAGTCTGTAAGAAAATTGTCGTTGGCTGTTAGAAAGGAACTAATACAAATTGTCCTTCACCTCAAGTAATAGAGAAAAAATTCAATCCATGAGGTAAAGAACTTGCAACCAAAGGTGCAACTTTTAATATAAAAAATACTAGCAGCACAGCTAGTTTCTAACATTGAAGCGCATGCCTCACGAATTTTTATATATAAATCAGCCCAATCTAGCATTACCAATAACTCTTCATTGATGATCTTCCTATAATAGCAAATATATCTTCATAGATGAAATTTCTGAAACAAATATAATCCTACCTATCGAATTTTTAAATTAATTTTTTTAATTATTATATTTGTTATAAAAATGTTTATTTAAAAACTGTACAAATTACTAATAATCATTTATTTAAAACTTTTTGATGTACTCTGTACATATGCCTTTTGAGGTTTCCTTTAAAATTGGACATGTAACCACAATCAGAACAAAAAAATGCAGGTGGTTTTCCACAAGCAACTTTTTGATGAAATCGAAGACTTGATATCCAAGAAAAAGTTCTTCCACAATGGCACACGAATTCGCCTCCTAAAATCAAAGATTTATTAACATGATTAATAAAATTATTCTTAATTCAACAATCAAAAACTTTGGTTAATTTTGATTCAACATAAACGAGGAATGAAAAATGTTGAATGCTTACGTTAGTAAAAAAAAACCACAAATTATCGAACCTTGAAAAATAAAATATTAGAAAGAACAAGGAATTTTTATGAAGAAAAAAAAAAAGAATCACTTTTAAGAATGATTAAGATGTATTGTCTGGCTTATACAAGTGTCAATTTTAATGACTAATTTAATTTAATTATTATGCATCCGAAGTATATGTTTTTGAAGACTTCTCTTATACTTCGTTTTGTGAGGACAATAAGGACAACACTCGCTAGGATCTTTTCCACATTCAACTTTCAAATGGTTCTTCATGTTTCTAAGCCAACGATAACCCTTTCCACATTTCGGACAATAGTAACATCCAGGTTTTTTATCAAGACTCATATTTCTTATGTCTCCGTATCTCCGTGACATTCTCATTCCATAGCCTCGCACACGAGGTGCATATGCTTCTCCACGAGGATAATAATTAGCCCAAGCACCTGAAAACAATTAAAGCAATTGATTAGAATCTGATCTCGATATGTTTGAATATTTTACAAGAGTTATATCCTTTCTATCACAGGGGTTCACCATAGAAATGATGTAAAAATAACTTTTATACAATTAATTTTATTCTTTTATATCAAAGAAAATTCGTCAAATACTTTTTATCAACGAAAATATTTGTTCTATCAATAATATTAAATTATTAAATTTTAGAAACTTTATCATAATATTCCGTTCGTTTAAATAAAATGATCACTTTTAAAAATAGTACAATACTATAGGAATGGAAAAAAGATTCGAAAATCTGTAGCTAAATTTTACTGGAGAAGACATTTTTCCCAGGATGATTAGTCCGTATATGTTGATAAAGATTTCCTCGTTGTTTTGTTCGATGTGTACAATATGGACACTTGAATTGTGGTTCTTTGCCACATTCATGTCTCGTATGACGAACGAGGGTGGCTCGATGTTGATATCCTTTGCCACACTGTCCACACCGATAGGGAAATTGTGGACGTTGTTTAGCCAGCCACATTGATGTCAAATCCTTCATCAGTGGTAATACAGGGAAACCAGGCCGTGGTAGAATACTGGCTTGTTCCGATGCCATCATCAGAGACAGCATATCTGTGAGGAATCCAGACAAAAATGATCAATGTTATTCCAGTGTATTAATGATCTAATAAGAAGAGGGAAGAAGGAATTACTAATTTCACCTGTCATGCTTCTGTATTTATTTTTTAATTTTTCAATCGTTGAGAGTTTTTTTTGAATTGAAGTCGAGTTAGTCTTTGTAGTTAATCAGCCAATAATATGGCTTAAAAATGCTTTTTATTAAAAAAAAAAATTGATGCTACAGAATAAATATTCAACGTTGTAAATTTTTAGTTAAAATAGATCAAAATATTTTTTTCGCAGGTCATGATTTAAAGAAGCAACGCTTTTAATTTATTAAAAAATTACTCATCAAATATTTATGAACTAAAAAATTGGTTTTTTTATAAATAATTAATTTCTTGCCATCAATATTTAATTTTAAGCGCAAGCAATTGATCTATTTCCTATTTATGTTTAGAGCAATATTCGTTATTTTGGCAGTTATTAAATTTTTCTTTAAAATTATTAATGCCTGAAATTAATTTAAAAAATATATTTTTAAACAATCAATCCATGATACAGAATTGAGATAAATAGATGTGTAAAATACTAATTTATTATATCATCAATATCTTCCAAGACATTCACTCGTCATTTATTCCATCTAATAATAATTCACAATAACACACTAATTGAGATCTATAACATAGACATTACGACCGGGATGACATCGTCTAACATGTCGATAGACATGACCTCTTTGTTTCATTTTCACCATACAATAGGGACACTGAACTTTTGGCTCTTGACCACACTCAAATCTGATATGTCTTTTCAAATGCCACGCGTGCATATAGCTTTTAAAACATTGTGAACATATATGTTTTTTTGTTCGTTGCCTTATGTTTCTTCCAGACAGTGGTTCCACATAGGTTTCATCCATTCCTTTATCTGTAAAGTTCACTTCCTCCTTGACTATCACTGAGCACAGATCACTCTCAAAATTTATTGTCCTTTGGAAGCCTAAAACAAAAAAATCAAAGAAATCTATTAATAAAAAAGATTAATTGTTTTAAATTCACTTAAAAAAAAATTTATATGCATAATTTAGGTATTGATTTTTTTAAAAGATTAAAAAAGTAAAATTAATTCCAAGTATAAGAGCGAAAAGCATTCACAAATTTTGCAAGGCAAAAATGATGATTTGATATTGTTAAGCAAAGCAGAGGAAAGTTATTGGTAGAAAACAATAAACCAGATCGAAAGTATTTCAATTGTTCACGTATGTATGAGCATTATTTATGTATATATATATATATATATATATATACATATTTTTTTTATTTGCAAAATATTTTCAATGTAAAAAAATGGCCAAACGTTCTTCAGCAAAAACCATTCTCGTACCTGTGATTGAGATTAAAAGATTTTTTCTTCAAATAAAATCTTGTTATTTTTTTCATTGCAGATCACAAATGAGTCTGAAATCTTTAAAACTTCTAACTTTGTAGAAAAAAAAATATATATAGATGTTGTAAAAACTATCCAACTTTATTATCAAAAACAACTTTCTTAGTAAGTTCACTTACGAACTTGCACTTAAAAACTACAAAAGAAAGAGAGAAAAAGAGAGTCTGAAAACAAATTAGACAAATTTCACTTGTCTAATTATAAATATGTTTGTGTCTTCTAAGACTTGAGATCAACGTAAAAAACTTTTTGACCGGTATGTTTTTTCCTGATATGTACATAAATTTGTGAAGTCTGTTTACTTCGAACATCACAGTAAGGGCACTTAAATCTTGGTTCATGACCACACTCATATTTGAAGTGACGATTTCGATTACTTTTGAGGGTAAAACCACGTAGGCACTTAGGACAATAGAAGAGATTTTTAGTTGATAATTGTTGATTTGGTTGTGGGGGTAGTTGTGGTGGTTGTGGTTGTGGTGGTGGTAGTGGTGGTGGTGCAGGACGATATGGGATCTCATAATTGACATCACAGACAGGATCGCCATAGCTCATGATAGAATCCATCATAAAGAGATCTGAAATAAAAATAAAAAGAAAATCGTTAGTAAAATAAAACTTAACCACATATAAATTAAGATTGTTATATTTTTTCCATACTGTACATTTTACTCATCGATGAAAGCAAAAATTCTTCTTCTAACACCGAAGCTTAGTTTTGTAAGTGTGCAAATAAAGTACCAAATGCCAATGACAATAAATAAAATTATTTTAATTATTAGAATATTCATCAAACAAGAAAATATAACTACAAATTAACTGCGAATTATTTTACCACTTCAAACAAAAACCCATGTTCTAGGATGTTAGTTGTAATTATGCAAAAATAAATTATGCATATTCCTGATGGTGTCTTCTTCTTGTTACCTATGACTGAATTATTACAAAATAATTCATTAATTATTCAGTTGTAAAATTAATAAGATAAATGATTGTTTAAATTATTAATGAAACATAATAAATATGAGTTAAAAAGTTAATAAATATTACACGAAAAGATTGATAAAAATATCATAAAAAGTTATAAGGAATATCAGAAAAAATTATTTTAATTACATATGATCTCATTTTTGTAGAAATTTATTTATAACGAAAAATGATGAATAGAATTCTTTTCAATATCCCTACAAATTTCCGATAAACCTGGATGGTGAGTTTGCAAGTGTCGTAGAATATGAACTTTTTGATAATTTCTAACGCCACAATATGGGCATTCAAATCTCGGCAATTGTCGGCATTGATATCTCAAATGAACCATCAATGATTTTTTCCATTTGTATGACTTTGAACAATTTGGACAATAGAAAATTCTCATATTGCGGTCTGCTATAACAGTAGTCTTCAATTCGTGTAGTGGATCATCTGTAACAACAATAAAACCAAATAATAGTTAGTATAAATTTAGCTAAATCATCAAATAAGAAACAGACCAAAATTCATGTAGTTATTTATTACTCATTATTAATTTACACTTTAATAATTTTGAATGGTAGTTAGTCTCTTTAGTAAGAAATTTTACTAAAAATCTACAACATTTGGTAATATTAAGTAACTATATTTTGAATTTTAGTTAACGTTTAGTATTACGTTGTTAATTTAATTACAGTATATTGAATAAATTCTACATGATTTCTAACAGTAATAAAAAATTATTTTATAATTTTATTCCAAAATAATTTAGTGTTGGTAACAATATCAATACAATAAAAACCATGATTTGGATGAATTTTCCGGATATGAGACCAAGTACTAGTACGTTGTGAAAAGTTGTTATTACAATAAGGACACTGGAAACGCGGAGGAACACCACACTCATTTTTATAATGTCTTAACATGTTACTACGATGGTTGTAAGCTCTACCACATTTTGGACACTGATGACGGGCTTCATTGTAACTTGAATGATGGATTCGCCTTCTTCTTCTCCTTGGATAATTTTGAATGTGTGGATTCATTGTACATTCTGTAACAAAAATTTATTTACTCATCATCAATGAAAAATATTATTAAACGCTTAATAAATCACACATTTCAAAACAAAAACATATTCCCTTCACCTAGAAAAACGTGCAAGTTTTCGCCAAATATGATTTATCTATCGAATTATAAAATAGAACTATAAGTTATGAATTAATGATAATTATTTTATTGTTCTAAATTTACAGAATATCGATTATAAAGATCCACTGTAGTTACACTCATAAGAGGATGTCTTGATCGAACATGTCCATAAACAGCACAACGTAATTTTCCACGGTATTCACAGTAAGGACATTTAAATCTTCGGGGCTTTCCACATTCATATTTCTTATGTCTTTTCAAATCTTTTTCGTAAACATAGCTTCTTGAACATATTTCACAGATAAATTTCTTCTTTTTACGTCTTCCTGGACGTCCTCTAGTTCTACGTCTTACTGAAAAAATAAATCAAAAACATTTTCTTTGTTAATAAATTTTATAATTTAATATAAAAAAAAAATCTTAATATAAATCAGGAACAAGAAGATCACGTAAATGTTGAGTATTCTAATATTCAGAGCATTTTAGATATTTATTATTGCACCATACATATTGAGAGAATTATTATTTTAATTTTATAATTTTATAGAAGATAAATTTTATAGGAATTATAAATAATTAGTTTTATTTATTTTCTGACTGATGGATAATTAAAGTAAATATATGATTATGATAATAAATTTGATAACCACATTGTATCAACATAGTAAAAAGGTAAACCTCTGTGATTATTTCTAATGTGGTATTCAACACTCGACACATGTCTGTATCGTGAATTACAGTATGGACATTGAATACTCAAAGGAGCACCGCAAAAATATTTTAAATGATCCGTAAGTTCTTTCAGATCCGTAAATCCTTTCATACATTGTGGACAATTCAACTGATTAGCAATATTCTTCGAATCTGAAATCAAATTAAATAAGACAATAATTAGAAGAGTAATTGTGTTCATAAATTTGTTAGTAATAAACCAAAGAATACTTTGCAACACCATAACTTCCATTCAATCACTACTAGGGCAAAAAGAAAAAAATCTTAATGCTTAATTTAAATTCAGACAATTTATTAGTAATAATATTGTTAAAAATTAATGTAAATATTAAATAGAATCTTTCAAAATATTCTGTTAGCCACGACTGAAGAACCCGGATGCCAACGTCTAATATGTCTGTACAAGTTTGATATGAAATTATCTTTTTTATGGCAATATGGACACGCGAATTTCGGAGTTTCTCCGCACTTATGGTTTATTAAATACTGCATGGTCCTGAATCCTGACTGGCATTTATTGCAAATGAAGCTAGCAACCATAGTACTATCCACCACACCTCCCCAAGCACAAGCTCCCGAATCTGAAATTATTACAATCAATGAAAAATGATTAGTTTTCAATAAAATATGTTAATAAATACAATGAATTACAATTACTCAATCATGATGCAAAATGGAAGAAGATATTAATATGAAACTGTCTTGAGTTATTGAAAAATTCTCCTAGAACTAATTGATTGATTCAGCATAATTACAAGTAATAGCTTAAACTATTTGATTTCAAGTTCACTGAAAAGTATGCAATTTGAAATTCATGAGAATAAGAAAAGTCAGAATTAAAAAAATAAATATATAATTAACTGGTGCAAGCTTTTAAAATATCAATACGTAATGATAACTTTGTCTGAAAAAAATTAATTTTTAATGAATGAATTTATATAATAATAAGTAAGTTTTAATAAGAAACTATATGAATATGAATTTTATTTATTCTAGCAGTGTATTAACTGCAACGTTATATATCAAACTGTACACTCGTTAAAATAATTAGGATTTATTTATAAACAAGAGGAGATTAGAAAGCTTTATCAGATATTAATGATTTAATTTTTAGAGTTTTTAACTTTTTGTACAATCACTGGTAACCCATTGTGCTTTAATCGTACGTGTTTATAAATATTCGAAGAACATTTATCTCTCTTATTGCAGTATGGACACTTGAATCGTGGCTCCTTTCCGCAATCATATTTCAGGTGAGTTTTCAAAGTCTTCTTGTTGCTATACATAGCATTACAGCGAGGACAGAAGTAGGTCATTTTACCAGGATGCCAATAAGGATCGTCCTCACGATCATCGTCTTTAGCTGTGAGCTCCGATGATCCCAACATGTTCAGAAGGTCACAGGATACTGCGCAACCTGCATGAAGGACGAAGATGTACATCGTTAGCAATTTAATTTTACTTAGTTATATTAAATACCAGGCATAAAGACAAAAAAATAGCCCGAATTTTTTTCAAGCATAGAAACTGAGTTTAAAGTCTAGTCAAGAACTCGATAGAAATTAGATTTTTCAAATGAATTTATTAGATGATTGTTATTGTGTTGTATATAAATAAAAATTAAATCACTTTATTTTGTTGACTAGAAGATCTGAAAAATTAAAAATATTGATAATATAAAATTATTATAAAAAGTAGAAAATACTTCTTCGTTGATGTAATCTTCATGTGTAGATCTTCATTTGAAGTCCATTCAATAAAAATGAAAATACTTTAATAATACTGTTTTAACTACTTAGAACTGTAACTAATATGACAAATTTTTATTGTTTCAAAAAAATACACCATGTGATTATTTTATAATACTAATTTGCGTTATTTTTTGTAAAAAATCTTCCAGATGAGAAACAGAAAAAAAAATCTTCATTGCAAAATAATTTTGTCTGGTTTGAAACAAGGCATTTGTTTATGAACTCTTCTCATATGTTTATAAATATTAGAACTATACTTTGATCCATAGTCACAGTAGGTACAGCGAAATCGAGCTTCATGAATTCCACAATGTGATCGATAGTGACGTTGCATACAATCCTCGGACAGAAAGCAGTGGGTACATCTTGGACATCGGTACCAGCTGTCAGTTTTCTTGAAAATTTCTGCAAAAAATCGACAAAATTGGTTAGAAAAAATTGTTCGATAGTAGTTCATCAAAATTCCTTGGAGAATTCACTGTTATATAACTCAATTTACTCATTTATGAATTGCATAAAAAAAACAACTAATTTTGTACATAGGTGAAAAATTTTGATGATGGTCAAAGTTTGGATTAAGAAAATATTGTCACATATTATTTAATTTCGGAATGGTTCAGAAAAAGGATAATAAAACAAAAAACATAAAGCCCCCGCATGCGTTAAAAATGTAAACTGAAAATGTCAATATTATTTACTTTTTTCGCATGATATTTTAAAATGAAATAATTATTAAAACAACAATACTTCTGAAAAATTGGTTTGATTCGTAAAATTAATTTATATCTAAAATAAATTGAATGAATATTTATTTTATTTTTAATCAGTTTTATAAACTAATTATTATTTTAATAAAGACGATTTAAAGTTACTTCTTGACCTGGATGGATTTTTCTCACATGATTGTAAACAGAGTGACTCCACTTGCTGATATAATTACAATAACGGCATTGAAATCGTGGCAAAGTGTCGCATTCATACCTGAAGTGACGATACATAGAATAACTCTGAGAAAAAACTCTCTCGCATTTAGGGCATTGACTTTTATTACGCGACGCGAGTATCTTCTTGTCTCCTTTTTGATGCTGAATTCCTTGATGTTGTTGATGAAAATCTTCCATGTCTGAAATCAATAATTCATTTGTTAGAAATATATTTTCCATACACTATAAATTCTACACAACTCTTTCAAATGCTCTAAAAAATTATTTAATTATGATTAATCAATTTAGTTTTCATGAAAATAATGAAAACAGAATTTGTATACCAAATTTACTCAATATTTTCTTTAATTAACGGCGTTGTTGAACTTTCTAAATCCTTATAATACATCAAGTTTTGGAGCTCTGAAATCAATAATATGATCATTAGAATTCCATCAATTTAAATTATTTTTATTAAAAATCTATTAAATATTATTGATTCATATACAAATATTTATGTTCATTTATACATATTTAAAATTTTGTTTTCAGCACAATAATTTAATTTTTTTTTCATTAAATAAATAAGCAAAAATGTGTTTAATACAATTTCACTAAAGTCACTGCTTCACTTGGATGAACAGTTCGGACATGTTGGTAAATATTCGATGTCTTCTTACTGCATAAATGACAATAGGGACATTTAAAACGAGGAGCTTTACCACACTCATAACGATAGTGTGCCAACATCGTATCTCTTCTCGTATATCCATGATTGCATTGTGGACAATAAAATTTACTCGTAGGAAACCTCACAGTTGCATTGAAATATTTCTTCTCACTGTTTACAAGATCCTTTCTGTTAGTAGTAAACAAAAGTCCTGAAAAGTAATATTAATTAATTGTTAGAATCAACAATTAAAATATCAAACAGTTATTTAGGAAATATTATTATGAAACATCATGCAAAAAAGAAAGAAAAGTTTTAAAATAATTAGTTAGTTACGGAACTTAAACAAAATTTCTTTACAAAACAATGGATGATATTCAAAGCGAAATATATTTTTATTTTCAAATTCCTGTTAAATCAGTCGTTATTACAAAGTCTTTCAAGATTTTACACTCAACAATATTTTGTAGCAAATGTCTTTTAATAAATAAAAAAACGTTTGCGTTGAGTTTAATGGAAGACTTTTAAATTAATTAAGAGTATTGCAAGTAACGGGTTCTGTTGGATGTTTGCGTCTTATATGATCCTGAATATTGAACTTCTTCTTGCTGAGCTTGCCACAATATGGACATTCAAATCTGGGAGGTTTGTCACAATCATATTTATAATGAGCCGTAACTGCACTCTTCGATGAATAGCTTTTACGACACCTTGGGCAAGGATAGCGACTACTGGAATTCGACTTCACATGAGATTTTCTGTGATTGTTGTATCCATACCAAGTCATCGCTGGCATCTGTAGATAAACTGAAAACAACAAAAATTTATTCTTTATTAGATAAAATGTTATTCATGAAAAAACATTGCCATTAAAGTAAATCTTAATCAACCAGATGGAAGAAAAAAAACATTTAACCATTTAGACGATTAACTACTTATCATTTTTTATTTTCAAAGAAGTATTTGAAGATTCAATTGAATACAAATTCAAAGAAAAATCAAATTAAATTGAGAGTTACATCACTCATTAAGAAGTAACCTAATTTTTCAGAAATAAATTATATATTATATCTACATCACAATAAAACTTGACTACTTTCCTATAGCACCTTTTTTGAATTAGTAAGAAATGATTTGATGAAAAGTAATACCTTCTATTAATTTTACGGAATTACATGTCCAGTTTTTCTAGGT